CTTACATCTGAGATCAAATTTGCTACAGTGAAAAACCCCCTGTTGTGAAAAATTTCTTGCTGCAAACATGATTTCGTTGTAGAGGAGTTTCACTGTATAAGGCGCACTGTCAGCTTGTGAGAAAAATGAATGCTTTGAGGTGCGCCTTATCGTGTGGAAAATGCGGTAGTTAGTTTTAAAATGTAATTCATTATACAACGACCAGGCAGCTGAGTCTTCGCAGTCGGTGGTACATTTGATAAGATAAGATAAGATATCCTTTATTTGTCCCACACTGGGGAAATTTACAGTCTACAGCAGCAAGATTGTGGGTAGAAAGAAGAAAGAAGAAAAACAAAGTGTTTGCATTCACAAAATAAATGTACACCGTTCAATTAAGTGCAATATAAATATAGATATAGATAATACCAGGCCACTCACAGGGAGCACATTTATTGCTCATCCGAGTTTGAAATAAGTCTTGAAAATAAGGTGCATCCGCTAAAGACTCTCTGTATACATGTGAACCGACTCGGTTTGGTCATGTGATACGGCTGTATTTAAGGAAATGTAACTGCAGTCCAATTAAAAACACAGTTTTATCACTTACAGGCGATTTTCAATGGAGACAAACAAGGAGTGGGCTCCAACTAATAAGAGAAATTACATTCAGCATAAGAGTGATTTATATTTGCTTTACACCTGTTTTCAAAATGCTGCTTCATGTGAAACTACTCCTCAGTGGAAATAAAAGAATGGGGACCGTTGTTCTCGAGCACAAAGGCTTGAAACGTGCAGTTCTGCAACACAGTTTGTAAGTCAAAATTATCATTTTGCACCCCAACTAAACAAATTGAAACAGGTCATGAGAATTAAGAGAGAATTCATCAGAATGTGTTTAGACTGCATTTTGGAATTCACTTCCCCTTTTAAAAAGAATCAAAACGTTTCTCACATTGTTTATACAATTACTGGTAACTAAAGGTTGTAAAAAAAAAAAAAAAAATTGTAGAATCACCGATTTACAGTGTATTTCATACACAACAATATGCCTTGCATGCTGTAATTAAAACTGCAACATTAAAAGCAATTGCAAACAGAGTTAAAGAAATTGAAAAGCAAAGTAAAGAAATAAGAAGTAGCTTACCAGGCTCCAGACTAAGGAATTTTACTCAGCGCACAGTACATTCTGCTTGAAAAAAAAATACAATGTTTTCAAGCAAAACCAGAGTCATACATATTAATCGCTACAAATGTCAAGTTAATGTACAGACCGGCATTGCAAGTATAATCAGCAAATTTCACACTCTGTGCATGTTTGTGTTAACAAGAGAATTTACAGTTGAACTGAGTTTGTATGCCTGACTAAGGGCCGATCCTAATACCTAAAGTGCAGGCGGTATCTGTTCAGTTCCCATTCAAAGACCGTGTACTGTAAATGTGAGCGTGAACTGTTATCTGTCAGTCTATTCTCTACATATGTGCTCTGCGACTGGCTGACGACCAGTCAAGAATTTGTCTCCTCTGGCACACGAGGGTAGTTGGGAGAAAGTAGGCATTGATCATCCTTTTGGATATTGTTCCTTGTTCGAATTATGATGGATCCAAGAATTAAGCCTTTTAGGGTTGTTGTCTTGTCAGAAGCGGTATCGGCCCCATATATTCATAATATACTGTATTCACTATATGCTTGAAGTTTTAGAAATTTTGTTCACATTTACCGTCTTTATACTGTACAATTGAAGGATGGCTATGACTTTGTACTAACTCACT